ACCAAGTCTCCATTCACTCTGTGATATTCAAGATAACAGTTCTCTCATCCCATCATCCAGCGAACTCGGCTTCAATAGCCAGAGTAATCCATTCTCAACAACCCAAACTGGATTCCAACAATAAGACACTTTAGTCATTCAAATTTATATACATCAGATCAGAATCTTGGAATCCTGGGAGGGGTATATACTTTGTATACTATACGTCTATACTGTGGAGTTTCTAGGGGATCTAAACTTATTTGTTCTGTGGATCTTTGGGGTTTCCTTCTCGGCGAGATAGGAGGGAGGAGTCATGTTTAATTCATGTAAGCAAACTGTCATTGTGGTGTTGGGAAATACTTGAGTATCTACTGAAGGTCTCAGTTTATTGTGTAAAAGGTAGATAAGTAGGTAGATAGGTAGATACCCAAGTATATTTTGTAGTTCATTTCATGCAGGAGTAGTGAGTAGTGATCTGACATACCAACCGTTCTTTCTAGACCCGTATTGATGTTCGAATTCATATCAGTATATAGACTCACCTCGTTTAACTATCTGAGTTTATCTCAATGTAGGAATTTACTTTGATTATTTGATTTTTTGTCTAAATCGGTGTTCAAGTTGATATACTATCCACCTTTCTCAAAATCTCAGCACTTCCAAGATTCTCCGCTACCCAGAATAGCTTTTAGCTCTACATTCTCGTTCCCAGCTCTCATCGGCATCGATAGTAAATAATCATATACCATCTCATCATCTTCTTTCCAAACACCTCAGCAATCACAATCTCAATACTAAATTCCACTTGAATTTGAAGTCTAGAATTTACCACTGCAGTACAGCCATTCTAGAAGAGAAAGTATCTCCTAGCAATACTGAGATGTAAGTTTGCCTGGGATATCATAGAGCTTGGTTTTCCTATATCTCGGACTTTAGTCTGATAATCTAGAGCCTCGGATTGTTACTTCTAAGCAGAGCATTCGTATGATCTTAAAGACTGTATATCTACCTACTGATGAGTGTTGTATCATCTTCAGCCTCCAGCCTGCAGACATCAAAAATCTTTAGTGACAAAATCCCAGTCGAGACCATCGAACACCCCTTCTAGAATCCGAATCCACGGCATGAAGATCGTGGCTAGCCAAGCTCAAACGATCCGAAACTCACAGAACTAACACCCTCATCACTTGCGACTCTGTTACACTTTCATATTCGTCATGGTCATCTGGGTTGCATGGGCAGAAGGCCATGTATCACCAGCCTCGATAGGAATAGGTATAAAGAGACGACTAGAGAGTCGCAAGGACGACAGATCGGTGCAATTTTACCATTACCATCCTCTTTGTGAATGAGCAGCGGAGATCTATGAGGGGAAATCTTCTCCCTCAGAAGGGGAAGAGGGGGTAAGTAATTCATATTTCGAAAGATAAGATCCACTTCGATTGCTTGATATGGAGATGGATCATGCCACTTCGATTTGTCGATATAGTCCCGAAGACGCTTGCGAATTAGAATTGATTTCCTTAAGACTTCCCCCCTTGATTCTAATACCTTTGTCCTTAGCTTCAAGGTCCGTTCTAATTCAGTATTGCGACTCCCCATCTGTTGGTTTGAGTGAAATACGGAAGACGTAGACCCTAAATGTAGGGTCTAATGTCAAGTGTATTTAATCTAAGTAGCTAGCTAACTTACTGGGAGAAGCGAGCCTTTTATAGGCCATGCTACGAGACTAGCTCCTTTGATGTCTATGAATGACTTAAGGACATCCATTCAACCTTTGTTCACACACCATCCATTGACAAAAGAAACAATACGTTGAGACACGAGTTGAAGAATAGAATAGTTATTACTTTCCATACATCACCATATTGTAAACTGAATCTGATTGATATATAGTAAGCAATGCAAATTAAATGTTGTAAATATATACATTGGCATTATCATTCATTGGTGCAAACTTCTATAAAAAATTTGCTAGGTATAAAATACAGATAACCCTCCAGGTCATAACTCATTAATTCCTCCATCTCCCGTTTTTCGCACCGGCTATAAAGCCAAGCCAAAGTAAATGAAGTACCGTGTATAGTGAAAGCAAACAAACAAGTAAGCAATCGGCAGAGAGAGCAGGTAATCGGTGTATAAGGGCAGCAAGCATTCGCAAAGGCAAATAACAGAAACAGGACAAGACAAAATCCAATCAAACTCCTCGCTCCTCATTACCTCCCCTGCAACCTCTCAATTACCTTGCTCTATCCTCATCTTCCTCCTTTGATCCTTTGAATTTAACTCAATCGACTTCCCGGTCTCAAACTTCCATTTCTCTTTTCGTACCTCCTTTGTCTCTCTTCCAAGATTTGTTCTCGCTTCTTTTCATTTTGTGTAGGATCATTCTTTGCATCTCCATCTTGACCTGGATTTGCCATTTCGTATTCAAGCATCTTGATGAACTTGTAGAAGAATACTGCGATTGCTGTTCCGACCAATGGTCCGATCCCTGATAGAGAATGTTAGTTTGAATTTGGAGATAGGGTGAGATGGGAGATTAGATATAGGAAGGCAAGAGAGGAAGGCGGATGCGTGATGTCGGATATGGATGCATGGGAAGTAAAGGGTAAGGAAGACAGAAGGTGTGTTAATGTAGCAAAAAAAAAACTTACAATAAATCCAATGTTCCTTATCGAAAGATCCACTAACAACACAAGGACCGAAGCTTCTTGCCGGGTTCAAACTTCCACCAGTATAATAGACCCCGACCATCTCGGCAATGAACAACGCTAGACCAATACCCACTGGCGCAATGAAAGTCGCCTTATGTTTCTCCTTCGCCAACATGAAGATAGTAAATATCAACTCGGCTGTCAGAATCGCCTCGATAAAGACACCTTGTACGGTGGATGTTTGAGCACCGAGCGTAGTTCGTACATTGAATGTAGTAGGGAAGAGACCGAGAACCATTCCACTAGCAGCTATACCACCGAGGATCTGGGCGAAGAATAGACAGACAGCTCGGGGGATAGGGATGGCACCAACGAGTACCATACCGAGGGTTACGGCGGGATTGAAGAGACCACCAGAAATACGGAAGAAAATCCATACATTTACCATGAGGGAAAAACCGAAGATAACTGCGATGTAAAGCTGAACTGCGATGTTGAAACCAGTCGCAGCACCTGTGGTAGTGTTCACTGTGTTACTGTCGATATTGGCTACTTGAGTACCGGCAAAAGCAAAGAAGAGAAACATGGTTGTGCCTACGAATTCACCGATTGTTGCTACGAAGTCTGTCTATGGTTAGTATGTGTATGATGGAAAAGAGGATGAAAAGACTTACGATTCTTGAAATTACTATTCATCCATTGTGTCCATGGTAACCTCATGACCATAGCTCTTTCTTCTGGTGTCAAATTATTCAAATCAATCGTTCCTTTCGTTCCACTCCTTCTATGCGATTCGTAGTTATACCCATCGATACTCTCATCTGTACTCTTTCTTCTAACCTTCTCACCACTTGCCCATTCAAGTGCAGCACCTGGTTCTCTCATTCCCTTTTCCAAGTCTCGATCTTTGCCAATATCACTTCTCGAAGAATCATCAAAATATGATTTCTGAGGGCCACTTTCCCATCCTACAACATTGCGATATGTACGTGGAGGACGGGAACGTTCATGATAATCAGGATGAGGATGATCATCACGAACACGTGTGCGGGATGACATTGAGTTCTCTCTCTCCCGATCGCTATAGTAGAGGTCTTCTCGAGCACGGAGAGCTCTTCCAGACTCGGATGTGAAGCTTAGCTTGGGGTCGTAATCGCCGCCGGAATATCTTCTTGGTGGAGGTACTGATGGCCTTCGTCTTAGACCTGCAACCGGTCTTGTAAGATCTTCAGAAGAGAAGACAGGGTGTTGTGGTGTAAGATCAGGTGGTGACATGATTGGATGTGATGAAAGGGGAGGCGACCACATTGCTGTATCCTTTTGATATGCTTTAGAAGGAGACGATATAGTGTGCGAAACTGGGACCAATTGCTGTTGTGAAGAACCAGGACGATTTATAACATCTCCATCCATAGTTTTACTGCTTTGGAATATTGGAAGGTCTGTGCCTTCTCCTGACATTGTTAACTTGAGACTCTCTGCGTCAATGTCCAAGTGGGGTGAAGGGAAATCGTGATAGGGTAGAATATAGAAGGGACGCTTTTTCAGTGGCTTAGCCGTAATGATGCGTTGATTTGGTAATAAATAATATAAAGTATAAGGGGTGTGTATGATGTTGATGTATTACGATTGATGATTGAGTTGTGAAGTATACTGGGAGAAAATAACTTCAACGGATGACCTGAAGAGATATATATTCTCGTTTCACCAACCACTTTCCGCAGTTCTAAGCACCATCGTGTAAAAGTATATCGAATCTTGATCTCCTTGAACCTTGGAGACATAATTTCTTCTTTTCCTTGCAATATCTATCAATCTAGCCATCTGCGTACGAAAGCATCTCTACCCAAGGTCCACAATCAAGGGTCTTGCTAAACACGGTGATTGAAAAAAGCAAATAACTATATCAAGGGAGAACCATCATACTAAACGATGCATCCCGAGTGGCTGGCTCCTCAAATGAAGAAGTTAAAACTTGACAGGAAAGCCCATGTGTGCATCAATGCATGATAACGTGGACCCTTAAGAATGATTTCGGAAAATCATGGAAAATCATCGCACATCTGCCGTAATGACGTAGATCCTCCGGACTCTCCACACTCTAGAGGTTAAAATATAAAGCCCGTTGAGCCATATTAAAACGACAGGAAAAAAAAGTGGTTCAACTTATGATTATACTTGAGATGAATTGTAGGGAAGAAACGCATGAACACATGGATAGACCTTGTCATCACGTGGACAACATGTTCTTTTCCAGCCTTCGAAACTTCGAATTTCAATGACGAACATCCGTAGAAGAACCGTAGAACAAGAATTGCAAGGGAAATGCTCGAAATCGAATTTAGAGGGTTGGTATCGAATCTATCGATCTTGACTAGAATGAGAAAGATATAACATCGGAACAGAAATCGGATACAAACCGTCGTTTGAAAGTCTGTGCAGATCGTTCTGCGTAAATTGGAATTTGATAGTTAGGACGGACTCGATTCAATGCCTTCGAGTTCAATTCATGCATTGATATGAAGATGAAATAACATATAATGATTGAGAAGCCTCTGGCCACCTTTTCAAATTTGCTATCGAGATTTGGAATGATTCCAACGGGGATTGCAATTCTTTCTGTGCAAGTAAGTGGCAATGAGCTGAAAATGAGTCGTGATGCATCAATTGAAGATGTCGGGAAACCTGACTCTACAGGTGGAGTTTCAAATTCTCGCTTAAACATATTCATCTTTCATTGGTCAATGCCTTTCCATGATCAAGGGATATCTTGAGGTATATCATTCCGATGATATAGGTTAATGTATGTTCTCATGCTTCTCGTACTTTTAGTCTTTTTTATACTTTCAGACTTTCAGACTTTCTTTTATTTGGCCAGTTCTCTCTTCCCAGTTTCTATTCTCGTCCCGATCTACGAGGACTCATTTCCAGCTTCTCTTCACCCTTCCTTTTCCGTCTCTGCCCTACGCACTACTCCAAGAAAGTATCAAAATAGAATTAGGGATTAAAATACAGCCACACAGAACGCTCCTACGAGGTAGAGCCTGTCGGGAAAACCCTAAGAACTTTTCTCGTTCATGAACGATCCTCACCGCCGATCCGATCCATCTTCCATGACTCACAAAATCCCCGGTATTATAGCCTTTCTTGCCCCAACCTTCTCTTGACCAAACCTCTTAACATACCAAGCCTTTCCTTGTAAAGCTCTTGGTAACATCGTAGTTATCTCATTTATAAGAAAATTTCTTGCAGGCACGCAACCACTTCCAGCCATTATGAAGAAACCAGCCCATTCGATCCACTCACAGAAATAATGAGGATATAGAATGTAGTTGAAGAGACCGTTCTGGGGAAGCATGTACACTTTGTCTACCTTTGTATTGCCTCTGTTTTTTCCGGTTGAAGGATCATGCTGTGCTGCTTGTTTTCGAAGTGCCGCGCGCCTGATTTCACGTAGCTCATCGTCATGAAATATGTTGCTTACGAGACCGAGAAAGAAAATCATCATGCCTAACTCGATCCGTGCTCCATTTACATATGGATTTCCTGATATAGGTTTCCTATAGATGAAATGGTTAGCGCTGCTAAAGAAGCGCCATGTCACTCGCATGCACTTATAACATATATCTATCCATGATAAGGCTATGTGGGAGTGGACGGGACAAAGGAAGCAACTACCAATCAGCTCTGGTAAGAGGTCCATAACCAGCAAAATAACATCCCAGTGATGTAGCATTTATGACTTGAAAGGCAATCGCCGAAAGCCAAACTATAAAATGTATGGGGGACATAGAAGGAGAGATAAGAGGGCCAATGATAGCACGATTGATGTAATGTATGGTCTGATTTTTCGACACATCGTTAGCAAAGATCTATCAGTTTGCTCTTTTCAGGCTCGCGCCGACTTTTATTCCGCCACTAGTTCAATATCTGGTCTCACATCCATAGATGAGTTCTTACAATTCCATTAATCAATGGCTATTGAATCGACAAATTGGTCCACCCTCTGCTAAATTCTCCCCTTCGAACTCTTTCGCCCCCACTAAGCCACGGTCACTTGATCATCTGACCTAGAACTATACTCTGCCAGCTCACTTCTCCCAAGACCTCTATAGCCCTCCCAGAAAAAGAAAAGATACTCACATAGAGCCCCGCCATCAGTTTGTTCTCCCATGGCAAGTCATTCAACTCCACCTCTTTGGGCAACGTATACATAATGTACAGCATGGTCATCAGCCCAGGCAATTCCATCGTAATCCAAGCCAATTTTCCTGGAAGATTGAATCGACTATTTGATGAGGTCTTGCCTGCACCGTACCATGGTTGGACCCATTGAATGATTGTTACCTATGAGATGTAAGTGAGCATGGGTCATTGGGGAATGTGAGAAAATATAGGAAGGGTCTAATGGATGAAGGGGTATGAGAAATATAAGCCCAAGATGAAGAGAGAGAAAAGATTACAGACCAATGGAAACCATTGAAATCCCCACACGATTAACTCCCAGTTTTCCCTTGAGGGAGGCATCCAATTCTCTACAAGAACCATTTTGACAGTTACTTTTAGCTCAGACTATTAAACAAGAGAAGTGTTTGAGGTAAGGAAATCGTTGTTGGAGTGAAGTAAAATGCTTCAATGATGTCACTACTTTTCATTGCACTTTCTGTGCACCTCACACCGTATGATGTTTGAGCGTTTGTCAGCCTTGCATGAGTAGCCAATAGTTCACGTGTCTCGGATAACCGATTGTGCAATTCTCAGCCTTGCAATCACCACAGCTCACGACCTCGATAACGATAACATCACTTTTGTTAATTGCGTCAAACGACATCAACTTAAACTTCATATCTTTACCCTCTCCCTCAGATTCACAACTAGAGAATGACACCATCACCTTCTCGCGTCGCATTCTACACTAGCAATCTCTCATCCTTCATCTCCTCCCCCTCTACCTTTCGCATCCTGCGTACCCTATCTCCGCCCACACCACTACCCCCCATCCCTCCCACCCCCAAAAACCTCACTTCCGTAACCTTCGACGCATACGATGCCTATCGCGGGACCCTTTACTTTCCTTCCACGACTACTAGTACTGTCTCAGATGAATCTTTAGGCCATGCAAAAACCCCAAACCGAGATCATCAATCTCCCTCTCATCCCAACACCCCGCAAACCCTCTACATACTCGATTCCTCCTTCAACCCGCCTACTCTCGCACACGCCCATATTTGTCTCTCCGCTCTAAACGATCACTACTCTTCTTCCGAATTGGGTCATACAACTGCGAGGTTGTTAATCCTACTCAGTACCCAAAATGCCGATAAAAAGATTTCCGGCGCGAGTTTAGAGGAGAGATTAGTGGGAATGGAATGCTTTGCGAATGATTTGTTGACGAATTGGTATTATCCTCATTCGGCTTATCATTACACGAAAGAGAAGCTCGATCGTTTGAATAGAAAATCTTCCGAAGCGAATGAATTCGAATCTTCGGACGCCGAATCCTCAGATATCGAATCCAATTCCGAATCCGAGCCAATTGGTGGATCGAAATTCAAATTTAAATCTTCCCCTCCTCAGTCTCCTCCATCTGAATCCACACTTTCCGGTAGCCCCAATTCGAAGCCTAAAATCAATATAGATATAGGTCTAACATCTCTCCCCTATTTCCACGACAAATCCGCCGCTATTGAAGCCTCTTCCGTCTATCCGCCCTCAACAACACACATCCATTGCACCGGCTACGACACTTTAATCCGCGTCTTCAATCCCAAATACTATGCACCTACTCATGATCTCTCCCCTCTCATCCCCTTCCTCTCAAACCATAAACTTCGCGTAACCTACCGCATCGACAAAGACTGTACAAAAGAAGACCAAGATGCATATCTATCGAAAATGCAACATGAACTACCCAGCCTAGGAGGAAAAAAGGAATGGATAGAAGATAAGAAGATATACATGGCTCCAGGCCTCGAAGGAAAAGAAATCAGCTCCACCAAAATTCGAGCAATGATTAAACAATACAGCGGACCGGATCCGCACCGCAAAGGCCAGGGAAGTTCAAAATTCAAGGGAAAGGGAAAACAGGGGAATAAGAAGATTAAAGAGGGATTGAAGGGATTCGTAGGAACATCGGTGGGGAAATGGATTACGGGGGAGAAGGTATATTGGTGGGAAGCGAAGGAGAATGGCCAATGAAGAATGAAGGAGAGAGATCTATGTAGCTAGCAAAGTCAAAGTTTAGTCGCATTTGTGATAGAGAAAGAATATGAAGTACGAAGCGAAGGAAGTGATATGATTTCTTGAGCCAACTCCATGAATACCCAAGATATGTTCCTTGACCATCTATCTAACTTGGCATCCCACTCGGAGACTCTCATAACAAAACATAGCTTAGTATAGCATCGCATCTCATCTCATCAGCTAATCTCACCACTGGAAAATGAAGCCTCGAATGCATATATCATCTACCTGTTAATGCGCGCAGTACGACTGCCAAGAACACTCACCCCCTACCTTCAACTTCATCCATAGACACATACAAACAAACTCCTTCCTCCTCCACACACTCACCTACCTAGTATCCATCCACCACCCCCTTCACTCCCACTCCCAAGACCCAATGATTTTTTATTGAAAAAAGAGAAAGCTATTGAATACCCTACCTACCTATCTACCTACCTATACAATCCAACATCCTCCCGCACTCCTCCTCATATCCAAAATAAACTCAATAAAATTCATATGATATGACACCTCTCTACCTCTCTACCTCTCTATATCCCTATCTATCCCCATCCATCCCCATCAAGCCAAGTAAAATTGACGTAAATTTTGACGTACAAAATCTACCTACCTACCTACCTACTCCATCCTTCACTCCTTCAGCCCTACCCTGCCCTACGATCGGTATACAGTGCAGCGAGTGCAGCCCTACCATACGATACGCGCTCTCATCTCACCTACCCACCCACACTCTCATTCTTGGCTAGGAGTGGCTCCATCTGAGTATTATATCACATCACATCGTATCACATCATACAAAAGGATTCAAAATTCCCAATTCAAAAATTGTGTGAATAAAAGACTTTCCATTATTTACTCTCCCCTTCTATATCTTATTCTCATTTAACACTCAAACGCTGAAAGATCCAAGGAAGCTTATCCATATTCTATCTGTAGTTACTGGATAATCTATACCTCTCGAACCTTTCTTTTCTTCCCCTCTCCTCTAATCCGCTCTTCATACTTCAAGTATGTATCCCATATAAATGTATTCGACAAAACGCCATACCCATGCATTCCTGGTACTATCCGTCTAGCCCAGTCCGACCCAACCTATTCTACCTTGGATTCGCCAAAGAGTGTGTACAAAAAAGGGAGGATCCGATTTTCCATCCCTAAAGCAAGGAGCCAGAAACGCCCCTTTCGGCATAGAATGTATAAATAAGTCATCAATCAATTCCCCTCCCATTAACATATATTCTCCTCCGCCAAACTCGACAACACTCTCACAGAGCCCAAATTAATTCCAACACACCATCAACATCATACATTCTCTTTCCATCCTTGTGATCTTTCCACCTCCAATCATCCTTCTTTCGAATATAGGTTTGTCTAACCGTTCCATCTGCTCTCAATTCCGCTTCAGCAAGATCCCATGAAACTTTTCGTCCAGTTTCGCGAAGAGGAATTCTTTGAGGTCCAAACATGAAATCGAGGTTCCATCCAGTTCCATCGTCGCCTAATGCATTGAATGTTCTTTCCATTTGATGAAGGTTGAAATCAATACCCTTGGGGTAATGAGCAATGGACCAACCATTGGTGAGGATAAAGTTATCTCTGGTTTGGAATCTTTGAAGGAAACAATCTTCACCACAAACTTGTTGAATTTTAGTGGATTCGAAAACTTGAGCTTCATGCCACATTCCTCCCTTGAAGTGATGAAGAGAAAGTGGTCTGATACCAGATTCATAGAATCCTGATGGATCACCAACAATATCCAATTGCCAGATATCATGAAGGACAGTTAAACGGACTTCGGTATTTTCGTATACGCATTTTCGGAGGAGGATATCACCTTGAGAACCCCATCCGGAATTTGCTTCTTCGACCTTTTGTTTAGTGCTGCATTGAGGGAAAAGATCTGTGATTGTCGCGGCCAAAGGAACGGAAAAGAAAACTCCAGCTCCACCATAAGCTTGACTTCCATGGCGTGCAAGACTACCGACGTCTTCAGAAAGATTACCAATATATAAATCTTCACTAGCATCATATGTTGCCATTTTCTTGATGAGAGCATCCATGTTTGGGAAGAATGTGTCGTCGTCGCACATTACCAGCCATTTTCGATGTTTTCTGGACTTGTCGTTATATAAAGCTGGGAGGAGAGAGAAGTAACGCTCGGCCATTTCGATTTTACTGTCTGCTGTGTAGACTTTGGCATCGATCCCATAGGCTTTCAACATTTTCTTGATTTCGTCGATTTCCTTTTCCGAAGCATCGACCAATCGTAGGATCAATCCACCTCCATTAGAGTTTCCATGACCATCGGTCAACCAATGCGACCAATCGAGCATAGGGTTAATCTTTGGATCAGTGATTCTCTTGTAGGTGGTAGAAATCCCAAAGAGGAACTCAGTCGCATTCACATCTGCAGGAATAGCAGACTTTGGGACTGGTACATCGAGTGGTTTCAGACATTTCGTAGTGGGAGCCGTGTCTTGTTCGATGTTGATTGTATCGAAGTATCGAGGGAATAAGTGTTCGTCGAGTCTAGTAATGGATTTCCGTTCAATATCTTGTCGATGATATCTGACTTGTCGGGAAGCATATTCAATTTTGTCATCTAGACTATATTTTTCTTTCAGCTCACGTAAGTGTGTTGAATTGACGGCACAATCGGGAGAACCATTTTGGGTGGTAAGAATTTCTTGTGAACTTGGACTGAGTTTTGATTGGATCTGATGTAGTCTCTCTGGTGTAGGTCGTCCGGTGAAGAAGATGATTGTGAGGCAAACGAATGTGAATAGCGCAATGCGGGTGAAAGGACTTCGAAGATTGATCAACCTATTAGGTGATATCGAGGTACCTGTACCTATTATGCCCATTGTGAAGATGGGAAATGGAAAGACTTGCGAGCCAGTAACACCAAATTCCCTATGACGTGGTGGAAGGATATGTACGGAGAACCCCGCGAGCGAGTCGACGACGATGAGACGTGAAAGAAAGAGGTGGTATGTAACGACAGTTATTCTTCTTTTTTTTTATAGGAAGAAATAGAAGACGGCAATTCAAGAACGAGAGAGAGAGAGAGAGAGAGACTGTAGATGTAGGAGAGAAAGAAGAAAGAGACCAGAGAAGGTTAACTTGTAGGGCAGATCTAAGAAATTAAAAGCCAAATCCAAAATAGAGCAGGCCGGAAAAAGAAGGAAAGTCGAGCTAAGATAAGCTTGATATTTTGATATGCAGTTACCCTAAACATTAATGCGGAGCGATGAACCTTGTACGGAGTCAATGGAAAAAGTTAGATGGGCTCAGTGGTGGGA